GCTTCAAAAGATGGATCTATATATGGAACTCTTAGATCAATTAATTTAGGCAACTCTTCTACCAATTGTCCATTCAATGACTCATATTGTAATCTTGTCTCATTTAATGCTTCTTCTGCCTAGAAATTATATATAGTATAAATAAAAAATTAAAGACATATATTATAATAAATATGTTATTGTCTCATTCATTACTTACTCTTAATAATTTACTTGAATCTTCTGGTTTGTCGGATTTGTCAGATTTGTCAGACTTGTCAACCAATTTTCTAACTTTTGCACGTTGAGCATCATAATCCAATAATTTCTTGTCTCTTTTCTTTATTGCCTCATTTATTTCTGGGAAATATGCACAAAATCTTCCAATAGGATTAGTCACCGTATGTTTGTAAGGTTCATCCTATATAAGAATAAATAATGGATTAATATCACAGCTTAACATAATCTAATTATTATATTATGTAATATGATAATAATTAATTGAATTATTTGTTACAAACTAAATATGTTCTACAATTATGATCAATCAATTCAACCGTTTCTTTATATTTATTTCCAACAAAAATTGGCTCTGATGAATCTTCGTAAAATTGGTTAATTGTTTCTGCTATTTTTAATTGTGCTGTTGACATTGCTAATTAATTAATTTTAGATAATTTGAATTAATGTAAAGTTTGGAAAACTACAATGTCACAAATAAATTTATGCACTAACCATGCATGGATTCTAAATATCCTTTAGCTTCTTTATGAATTTTTTCAGCCTTTTGTTCAAGACTTTGAGGGAGAAATTAAAATTATAACAATTATGATAATTAGAATTATTAGAATAAATCTTGCAATCAAAAAAATCATACAAACTTTTTTATTCGTTTCTCCTCTTCGTCAAAATTTTTATCAATCTACAATTTTCATTATTAATAATATTATTATTCATTATTCATTATTATAATATTTAATAATGCAATGCAATGCTAATAATTACTTACCGTTTTCTCGATTGTGCCAATTTTTTGTGATAACTACTCAAAGTAAAAGCAAATAAATTATTAATTAACATGATTCCTGATGCGTCTTTTTCAATTAATTATTACCTTGGTTTGTGTACGATCAATTTTCTTTTTAAATCCAGACCTAAATATAATCCAAAATACATATTATATATAAATATAAACAATTGTTAGAAACAACCTTGAAAAAAGAAACTTACCAACTCATTTTCTTTTAGTTGATTGCAAAAAATTATAACGGCAATAATTTATTATTTATATAAATCAAAATAATTATATGCAACAACATTACACGAAATGCGTTAAAAAAAAACAAAAAACCGTGTAATAGCAGCGGGAGGTTTCGATCCTCCGACCTCGGGGTTATGAGCCCCGCGCGCTTCCTCTGCGCTACGCTGCTTAATTACAAAATTTTCCTTCAATAATTTCTTATTATTCATGTTACAATTACAAAATATATTCTTGTATCACGTCAATCTCTAAAAAAATGGATTCCATATATATAATGAATTTAATACTTGGCTATAAAAGGTTTTGCAAAAGTTCATAAAACAACATCTTACGTAATTCCAAAAATAAGATTTCATAAGAGTTAAATATTTTTATTATTGTTAAATAAAAATTTATCATAAATATTAGATTAATTTATTGCAGTCAAACCTCGATAAGCCGAACTTTTGGGAATCACAAAAATATCAACATTCGGTTTATGAAAAATGATTATTATTATTATTAATTGCCTAAATAAAGATGTATAAAATAATAAATTTTATTTGCGAATGATTTGGGTGATTGACAGAGGAGTAAACCGAATTTTATCATTATAAGACGAATTTTAAAACCAATTTACGATCATCGCAGTCGCGTTTACTTCGTCGAAAATTATTTCGTCGACAATCATTTCGTCGACACCCATTTCGTCGAAAGTTTGTTTCATCGAAAGTTCGTTTCGTCGAAAGTTCGTTTCGTCGAAAGTTCATTTCGTCGAATATTCATTTCGTCGAAAATTATTTCATCCTCGAGCCAGAGACCAAACGAGTTAGATATAAGGAATGTAGGAAGTTAGTTAAGAAATTATGTGAGGAAAACGGAGTGTGTGTGAAGTGTGAGGAGAGGAATTTCTCTACGAAAAAAATAACAAAAAAAAAGTTTGAACGGCTGTCCTATTCATATGTTTCGAATTTAATAAAATAGACTATTGTCTTGGCCCGAGTGATGTCATTTTTTTTGCTCTTTGCGATGAAGATGACGCAAAACCCAACTTGATTGAATTTTTATTCTCGCGTAGCACGGTGTGCGTGTTTTATAAAAAGCAAAAGCTCACATTGCGTTCTCAGTTGTAACCTTGTTTACAAATATAGGCAAACAAAATCATACAATCTATCTCAAGTAAGGAAAAAAGCAGTGTTACGGGTTTTGAGCAATCTTTTATAAGTGTTAAAAATAAATAAATAATAAAATCACATGATCAGATTGATGTTAGATTTGGGGTGTTGTGGATGTCTTCCGTGACGATTCACTATAATATTGTTATTGAGGTGTGGTTATAACTATTAAATGTTATTCTCAGGAACTAACAGCCACATGAAAAGCAAATGCGGTGACCTGTCAGCACAAGCGGTCTAATTTGATTAAATATGAGGTATTTCTTTATTTTAAATTATTATTATTGTATTTTATTTAATTAATCATTCAAAATGACCAATAAAAAATAACATTACAATGACATGGAAAAAAAAAAAAACAAATAAAATTCATGAAATTTTAAAAATAAAGAATTTGTATAATGCATCAATTTGTTACTTGAAACTGATGATATGAGTTGGCTAAGAAGTTTATCGCCAATTGGCTAAATTAATTAGATTATGAAAAAATTTCCCTTACATTTATTTTACATCTGGAATTTTAGTGCAAAATTCAATGGTATAGACACTTGGTCCATCTGTATTACTTAGAAAGATAAAAGAAAAAACACACACTTGCTCAAAAAAAGGTATAACACTCATGGCAGGATATTATCTAGGATTTCTATTCGTAATAATAACAGTAAATAGTAATAGTATAATTTCGTAATATATTTCGATAAAAAATCAAATTCGATCATTTATTATGACGAATTTAAAAGTTGAATGTTTGTCTACTATCTTTAAAAGACAAATAGGCGAGTCTATTTGACTGTAAAACAACCTTTACTTAGCACGCAAGGTATATTTATTTACGTAGCATAAATCAACAAAACGTGTCGTGTTTGAGCATTAGTTATTATCCGAGTTAAATCACACATAAAACAAGATAATTTTGTATGAGGAACAACTTTTAATTAGCACATAATATTGGTCATCGCGCTAGTTTTTAAAAAATTCGCCTATTTTCAGCTAATTTTTAAAAGTACAATTGATTGTCTCTCTCTACCTGTGTCTATATATATAGGAAAGTTAATTTTTTGACAGTAGAACAACTAATGATCTGACGGAATATTATTGTGAGTGAAAAATTGTTTAGAAATTGTCGAAATGGTAAATATGATAAAAAGAGAAAATATTGAAAATACTGTATATTTAACTAAAATAAAACTTTACATTTACTCTTAAATTTATATTCACTTGTTCATCTAAGATTTTTCATTGAAATGTCAGATGATAGTCAGCTTCAGTTCGTAAATGCCAACTTGAATGTCGAATATAAATCATTGTCGATTAGTAGGTAATCAAAAAATGGTGAATTTAAAAATAAGATTCTTGAAAATGTCTAATGATAATTGTTTCTCATCATTGGAAAACATTACTCTTATTTAATATTAACAATACCCTCCTCCCTACCATTAAAATATTTTAATAAGCAAGTAAATGATAAAATCCAGTTTCTACTATCAAATTTCTAGCTTTATTAAATCGTTGATAACTGTAGACAGGGCTGGTTTTTAAAAGAATCAAACAAAAAAAAAGAAAGAGTAAAAAAAAGTTTTTACTTTAGCCGAGGGTTTTTATTTTGCAACTCTATAAAAAATAACATACGGAATTAATGTACTGTATTTCTTGTGAGGTTTACACTTTTTTAAAATTTAATGCAAGGTATAGGATAGTACAGAATGTACGACATACTCAAAGGGCACGTTTTTGATTTCATATAAATTATAATAATTATTGTTTTGGGAAAATATATATACTGTGCATTTGATAAATAACTGAATCAATATGAACCACTATTATTACAATATTTTTCCATAAAATCTTGGCCCATACAATTTTGGTGTCTTCCAGACCAAATAAATTACAAACGACTTTAATTTTTTTTGATTTCGATCTTGGTTTCGATTTTGATTTTGGTTTCGATTCCGATCTTGGTTTCGATTTAGATTTTCAATTTCGAAATCTAGTGTGTTTTTTGAAAGTTTGAATTTTCTATGATTGAATCAAGTATGGTCGTTATAAATATATATATATATATATATGAGACAATCCAGCGAATCACATTTCTGACTTTTTTTCCAAATGAGATTTTTGGCACAAATTAATATTAATATTATTCAGTTGTGAAAATCGATCAATTAATTTATTAGAAAATTTAATCATTTCTGTTTTCACCAAAAAAAAACTCTGTCAGTTCTTTCTCAAGAGAGAGAAATCTTGTCATTACGAAAAAGTGTGCACAGTATTTCATATTAATATGGATATAACGGATTTTTGAAATTTTTCTCTGTATCTAATACTAATAAATTATCCAAATAATCCGTATCGAGTCTCGCTATATACACGCACCTATAACTATAACTATTACTTTGTTATTCAATTCCAGCCAGTGCCTTTCCGTATTTCAAAAACAAAGTTAAGCGGAATAAAGAGGAAAGTCAATAAAATTAATTAGTTATTCGGATTCGTATAGAAACGTGTCAAACTGGTTTATTTATTATTTTAAAAAGTGACTTTATTTATCTATGCAAATTTATATGATTTACTGATATTATTATATAAATGTAATCTAAAAAAAATTTTCATGGTGCTGGGATTCTAAGAATATTATTTGGAGTGCCACTGAGAGTCAATGGGTCAAGCAAATTTTTTGTTGATAAATTAATAATTGTTTTGGCCATTTCAGCAGGAGATTTGTTACCTTCTTTAGCAATGATTAAAGCAATTGCACCCGAGACATGTGGAGCTGCTTGTGAAGTTCCAGTGAGAATTGTAAATTTGTCATTGGATTTTGCATCGACAGATTGAATGTTGGTGCCCGGAGCAATGATATTCACACAATTTCCAACATTTGAGTATTTAGCAAGAGCATCTGCTTTTTCTTCAAGAGCACCAACCGTTATGGCTTCAGGAGCAGAGGCGGGCGATACGAAACAAGCATCACTAGCATTGTTACCAGCAGCCGTTACTACATGAGCACCAGCGTCGGTTAATGATTTAACGACATTGTTAAGAGCTGCAAGATAAACACCGCCTACTGACACGTTGACCACCGTATTTTTGTTTGAACTTTTTATGTGTTGTTTAAGGACATAATGCAAACCAACAATGACATTGCCTTGACTACCGGTACCATTCGCATCAAGTATCTTGACAGAAATGAGATTAACTTGATTTGCAACACCAACGGTTTTTCCTCCAATTATGCCGGCGACATGACTACCGTGACCTTTATCATCATTATCAGTATCACAACCTGGACCATCACAAAATCTACCTCCTACTTTAGCACGATCTCCAAATTCAACATGTTTTATGTTAATACCAGTATCTATAACGTAGACATTTACACCTTTACCGGCAGAAGCGGGGAATGTGTAAGAACCATCTAGCGGGAGTTTACTTTGGTCAATACGATCCAAATTTGGTAGAAGAGTTTTTTCCGTTATTCCATTGGAAGGTTTGTTTTTTGAGGGAATAACATTTTTTAATGTTATGGGAGAATCTTTTTCAAAAAATTCGACATCACTACGTGTGGAAAGGTGTTCCTTGACAAATTGTGGTGAAAAGTGAGCTATGTAACCTTTAAGAGATGTTCCTTCTATGGTTAAATCAAGAGCTGTATTTTTTTCAACATTGTGATTAAAGAAACTTTGGATATCAATTGGTTTTTTTTTCACATCCCAACAATCATTTAACCATGATTTATGTCCGTTATCTTCAGCTTTTAAGAAAACCATGTATTTTTCTGTTTTTAAATTAGTAAAATTTGTGGTTTTAAATGAAGTCGCACATTGAATTTTATCATCATCTGGCGATCTGATCAAAGAAGCCAAGAAAATTGTAGCCAATATAACCAAAGATAAAACGGCAGATAAACGAGTAAAGAAAACCATTTTAAATGGATGTTATATTATTAGGTGGGAGATGGATAAGAAAAAAGAAAAGCGATTGTATTTTGAGTGTATGTGTATGCTAATTCTCGCAGAGATTTAGAGGAAAAGTTGTTTCTAAAAAAGGGAGGAGAAATTATTTTTTGAAAAATCATTTTATCTATTATATAGGAAAAATATTCTTTTAAAAATCCCGCATTTAAACACAAATAAATAATTACATACATTAATATTAAGGGATTGTACAGTATATATATATATATATATATATAAATTTAAAAAAAGCTCCAAACAAGTCTAAATATAGAAAAAAGTAGAAAAATAAAATTTTTTCCCTTATATTTTTTTTTAAAAAGATTTCAAAAACTGGTTAATCCGGAGAAGGCATTAATTATTTATATGAATTAATTTTTCGAAACTTTAATCTTCATTCAAGAACGTGTAAAGACCAAACCAACAATTAGTTGCCAATCAAAATGTACACACCAAAATAACAAATCATGCATTCTGATTGGATTGTTACCAGTCGTGTAACTTTCCTTTTCCACCCTTTCTGCGCAAAGAACCCTAACCCAAAAAGCAAAAAAATACTTAATTATTGGTTAAAGGTTCCCAAATTAAGTCAAAAATTTATGAGTGGCTTTTAAATTTAATAATAAGCAAAGAAACAATGTCAGTTGATAAAGTATTACTTTGGCGATGAGAAGGAAACTGACACATATCAATATCAATATTAATAAGTGAATTATATCCTCTTTGAATGATGCGGCTGACTGTTTTGATGTTAATTCATGGGACAATAAAGAATTATCTTCATCATCAAAACAATTAGAATATGAAACATCATATGGAAATGGTCATCGTCATCTTCATGTGCAAGCAAATCATATCAATTGGTTATTTATAATATATTTATTTATTAAATTTAGAACCACACAATCATTAAAAGTTTAGATTCGAAACATCGAACCAATTGTTATTATTATTATTATTATTATTATTATTATGCGATTCGAACCATTGAAAATTCGAATCAATTATGTGTCTCCATTGCATGAACAATAGTCACATCCATTTTTAAAGCAATTATTGCAACAAACATAGTTAATAATAAAAATTATAACATTTTTAGTTTAGGGTTCTGAAAATTTATACATGAAAAATCTTATTGTTATTAAGATTTAAATTAATATTTAAAGAAAACAAAGCTTTGACCGAAATTTTTTTGAGAAACATTTCTCGCTACAAAAAAAAAAAATCTAAATAAAAACTATTGTTCATGATACTCTTTTTCAAAATAGGTTTTGAACAAATCTTTCGAAAAGTTTTAACCTTAAAATGTCAGCTTTCGATTTGGAGAAATCGCCAGTTTCTATAAAAACTATGTATCCAACTACAACATATCTAAAATTCATAGAACAACAGCATTAAAAAATATGTCTATGGAAAAAAATTGAATTGGTGGTCGTTCTAAATCAATAAATAAAGAACGCAGAGACAAAACAGGGTCAGCTTTACCTGAAAAATCTTTATTAAAAAAAGCAACGAATATTTTATCATTTGTACAATTCAATAGTCCATGGGTTCGAATCCAAATCGATCAATTCGATCAGTAAGCTCTAACTAAATCCATAAGCATTTTATAATAATTATTTATCTATATAAAAATGGACTTTCAAACCAAAACATTTTGAAAAAGAAGAATACGATAATGCAAAAAAAGCTGTTCTATATAGTGAATGGAGAGTGAATAAGAATACGATAGAAAAGGAATGATGATAGTTTTTTCAATGAGTTAGGAGTTACTAAATCAGAGATTACTATTTTTCTTTCTCTTTCTTTCGCCTGTTTCTACCTGTGCAGTTGAACATTCAGGTCTGAAGCAAAAGTTGATAAAGTTTCAGAGAACTTAACAGTGGGCGGATTTATCCGGCTGCTAAATTTTATTCGTTTTAAAACCCGAATAGTCGGTCAAAAATTAAACTTTTGGTACAAATAGAATATATATTTATATATTTATATATATATTTAGTAATTCAGATAAAATTGGATTCAATTTTGTTCGTTAGGCTGTCATTGTATTTACAGCCTCACCGAACAAACGTTCACTTGGAATAAAAGTTTCTGTAACACATCACATAAATCCTTTTTAGCCAGTAGTAATAGATGTTGGTCAACCTAGAAAATTCAAAATATTGATAAATATTACTGGATCCTGATTACTTTAACAAAGTCTGAAATTTGTTTTAAATGACATTAATATCGTTTTATATGCTTTAGTTGTTTTTAACAAATTAAAAATCTCTTTGTTTAGCGATTAGATTTTTCTAATAATATACAAAAATATTTGAAATATTAATATGTAATTAATTGTAAAATAAATGTATTCTTTATACGATATCTTTTACAAATTCCGTTACCAATTCCATAATTTGAAAAGGGAAAAACACGTTAATTCTGTATTTTTCTTTTTTAGTAATCAGAGTTTCTCTTGACTGTTCTTTTATTTTTATCACTTATTTTTATCTTAATAAAATGTTTAATCTATTATGAAAAAGAAAGTTAAATTTATAAGTTTTCAATAATTTATTTGAACTCTTTGAAGAATTTAAGAAATATCGTAATTCTAAAGACAAAGGTGTGCGGTGGTTTGAGAAAAATAAAAGACAAAGGACGGTAACAGTTGGTTTTACCCCAGTGATTTATTATCAGCAAATTTGTACCCAGCAGGTAACAAAATATAAATGACATTGGTTAATTGTCGTTAGGCAAAAAGAACAATATATACACACATGTAACCCATCATGAATTGTTTTTAAACAAAATTTACACGTCAACTAATTTATTTGGCCCTCTAAAAAAAGAACTTATACAAAAAAAAAAAAGAAATAATAATTTACAACAAATTTTAATATTATGCAATAATTCTAAAATCTAAAAAATTAAAAAATTCTATTTTTTTTTTATGGTGCTGGAACTCTAAGAAAGCTATCTGCAGAGCCTTTAAGATCATCAATTGCACCCTTTGTTGATAAAGTATTAATTGCTTTGGCCATTGCAGCGGGAGTTTTGTTACCGTCTTGAGAAATAATTAAAGCAACAGTACCAGTAACATGTGGAGTTGCTTGTGAAGTTCCATCAAAGATAGCTATTCCATTTTTAGTGCCTGCTTTAGCGGATTGAATATTAACACCTGGTGCAAAGATATCTACACATTTTCCAATATTTGAGAAATCAGCAATTACATCTTTTTTCGCTACTTTGCCCGTAGAATCAGTAGCACCAACAGTTATAGCTGTTTTTTCACTGGAGGGTGAATCTTTACATGCGTCATCACCCTCATTACCAGCAGCTACTACTACATGAATACCAGCAGTGGTTAACGACTTGACGGCATCATTGACAGCTTGAGAAAAAGCACCACCTAATGACATGCTGGCTACTGAATTTTTGTTTTTACCCTTCGTGTGTTGGTCAAGAACAGACTTTAAACCTTCAATCACCCCAACATTACTACCAGAACCGTTAGCGTCAAGCACTTGGATAGCAATAAGATCACATTTAGGTGCAACACCAAAGGTTTTTCCACAGGCTGTACCAGCAACATGAGTACCGTGACCATTAGGATCATTGCCTTTTTCACATCCTTCACAGAAACTACCGCCATCTGTAACACGACCTGCCACTTCTTGATGATCTGGATCAATACCAGTGTCTACAATAAAAACATTTACACCTTCGCCTCCAGCATTAGGGAAATTGTACTCCCCATCCAAGACGAATTTTGCTGAATCAATACGATCCAGATTTGGTAGTTTAGTTGCTCTTGTTGCCCTTTTGAAAAGGTTGTTTGGAACGGCATACCTTATGGACACAGGAGCATCTTTTTCAGCAAATTTGACTTCACTACGTTTAGAAAGTATTTTGGTTGCAAATGACTCTGTGAAGCTGGCAATATAACCATTCATATTTGTACCTTTAACAGTAAGATCATATGCTTCATCAGAGCTAACAGCGTCTGACATCTTAATGCCCACACATTCCTTTAACCATGCTTTGTGTTCATCATCGTTAGATTTTAATGAAACTATGTATTTAGATTTCTTTTGAGTAGAAGTAATGTTGGCACTTTGAGTTACAGATCCACAATCCATTTTAGCGGATTCGACCAAAGAAGCCAAGAAAAATGTAGCCAATACTGACAAAGATAAAAAGTTGGTAATGTGAACCATTTTTAAGAGGAAAAAAAAGAAGGTAGTTTATTTTAATTTATGTGAGTGTGGTTGATTTAATGCGTAGTGTATACTAAATATCTCACAGAGATATTTAAAAAAATCGTATATATATATATATATATTTTTAATTCCAACCTCCTGGGCTAGCTAATTGACGAATGAAATTTTTTTACTGGTAAAAGAATAAAAAGGAAGATTTATTTGAGATGATGGTGTGCTTTTTCTGAGAATTATTTCCTCCCTTATATAATGAAAATAATGGGGTCATCTGCGTTTCATTTAATATTATTATTGGCTAGTAGATTTGTTTCATCCAATATTTTAATTGGTACTTTGGTAATCATTTCTAAATTAGTAGACAAATTTTTTTAAAGGTTTCAAAATTAATTAATCGTTTTAAAAATAAATAATGCTAGTACTAAAATGATTGATTGAATAGAAGAAAGTGTTCAGTATTGTTAATGTTGTAATCTAAATTAATTATAAACTTCAATTTATTTATTTTCTCGTTACCTTACTTTATTTCCCTTAATTTTTTTTGAAATTCGTCTGGCATTTTTTTTTTTTTTAGAGAAATAAGGGAATAAAGGTTATTATGAACAACAACAAATTTTCATCATTATTAAATGGCTATTATTCTACTCTTTCCTCTATCAGTGAAATTTACTTTATCTGGTAAAATTTCAAAACCAACGTGCATTTTACCTATATAATAATAATTATAATAATTAGCACTAACCCAAACAGAAACTCACGAAATTAATTTAG